TATGACGGTATGCTCCAACTACCATTATTATGAAAGTCACAATTATGATAACTAGTTTTTTTTCATCATCTTCACCTACTTCTTCCCTTGCATGTTTCCTTTGACCATGTAAACTTTGTTGGTCTGACATTTTCTTCTAAGCTGTTTCATCATCAAAATTTAATGTGTAAAACTATACTTATCTAAGAGATAGATTCAAACCATGTAACATGGAGTAAATGTAAAGGAAAAGAATTAAAATTTTAGAATTACTAAACGAAATCTAGAACAGATGTGGACCTCAACATACAAACATACATAATCTCTAATAGACTATATTTGGGTCAGTCTTTATGGCTAATATTCACTCTATACGATTAATGTATACAACTCAGGATCACAAATGGCTGAGTATTCAGCCACCACTATTTTCATGTTATTTTCTCTTTGGTTAACATTAAGTTCTAACTTAACAGTTAATAGCGATAATTTCACCAACATCAATCTGAAATTCGAACAATTTCAATTTTATAAGTAAACAAATGAAATTTTTTCTCCATAATATGAAGCATTCTAAAAGGATAATCCTGTTTACAATTATCTTTCGCTAAGGCATATAAAACACTAGGCAATCTCCACACATTCATTTGCAGGAGAGGCAATAAATCAAATAAACTTAATAGACAGGGTAATTCATCGACAATATTAAATGAATATAACATGAACATATCACAACCTCTCAAAGCAATTACTAAAGGGAACGTAAGCCTTTTCACTGACAACTGCTTTTTGGAGTTAAATTTTGTAACCAAAGAAGAGATTGGACCTGCTACATCACTCGGATCTCTCATTTAGTAGATTTGTAATTGTAATTTTCACTGGGACGGAGCTCGGTAGAGAAATCAATCGAGAGAATAGAGTTTGAATCTAGAATTTAGGGTTTCGGTGGAACTAGAGATAGAGGATCAAGTTCTCACCATTATCGATGATCGTCGTCGTCGCCGGAGGTGAAATTAGGGCTTACAGGTAAAACTGGATCTCCTCGTCGTCGTCACCACCGCCGGTTGAGAGCGGAAGTGGGGAGGGAGAGAGATCGCGAGAGCCGATCCACGTCGTCGTCGCCGTCGGCGGCGGTTGAGAGCAGAAGTGGGGAGGGAGAGAGCCGATCCACGTCGTCGTCGCCGTCGGCGGCGGTTGAGAGCAGAAGTGGGGAGGGAGAGAGATCGCGAGAGCGGGCGGGGGCAGATCACGAGAGCGGAAGTGGAGAGAGAAGAAACGATGGAATTGCAAATGACAGCCCCCTGGTTGGGATTTAGAATTATGGGCTTGCTATAGGTTTAAAATGTTAATGTATTTGGGCCAATATCTAGTATTCAAATTCTTTTGGATCCAAACAATAAAATTGGGCCAAATACAGTATTTGAAATGAAATCCTGATTACCAAACAGGCCCTTAAAGAAAATGAAAAAACAGAAGAGCTATAACAAAATAAGAGTGTAACGAAATTATAGGTATTAAGAAGATGGTATTCCTTATGTAGTTTGGAAGCACTTTTGGGGGGAGGAACTAAGAGCGTAACGAAATTATAGATACTAAGAAGATGTTCAGTAAATAAAGGATACGTACTTTACAGAACATGGGAAATGGGAGAGACAAAGTTACTATATATTAAAGATAGGTAAAGTTTTCTTAAATGATGAGAATCTCCGTTGAAATTTAAGGTACAATTAGAACTAGACTGCCCAATCGTTAATAGGAACTGCCTTTATTTTCTTTTCTTTTTTTAAACGCTTACAGTGAGTTTGGACAGGTTTTTTGATGAGGGGAGGGGAAGGAATTGGATGGTTTCAGTGCTAATCATCCAAATTTTGGGTTTGGTTACAGTTTTTAATTAGTAAGGAAAGGAGAATGGATGGCTAAAAAGTAGCAAATTCACCCACTTTCTTAACCCTCCTAAAGTGAGTGTAAGGGGAGGGATTGGATTTTGAGTTAATTGGTCATATTTCCTCCCTTCTCTTTCCATGTTCTATTCTAAACAAATACTAATTAGTTTCATCACACTCACTCCCTCTCCATCCCCTAGTTGTCTATCCAAACACAATTAGTTCCATCACGCACTCTCCGTCAGCATCCTCTCCCCTTAGGTTTAGTTCAATCATCCCTCTCCCTTCCCTCTTGTCTATTCAAGTGAAGCTAAATATGTTTTTAAAGAAAATGGAAAATGGGAGGGCTACTGGTTGACATTCCTTTCGAAGTTTGGAAGTGCTTTGGGGGGAGAACTAAGAAAAATAGCAAACTTATTCCACAAAATTATAGATTATAAGAAGGCAATAAATGATGGATAAGTACTTTGATATATCTATAGAATAAATAAAATACAAATCTGGACACACCTTCATGAATCAAGTTTATGAGACGAAAGATGAACCTTTGGCTGAAGACTAAGAAGAGAAACATGTCTTCATTTTTTTTATCGAGAATGAAATCATGAGATATATTCATTTACTGAGATGATAGAAAGATATAGGAGAAAAAAGAGATCTTATGGTTTTTAATCACATTAAGAAAAGCTTATGATAGGGATCTAGTGAGACAATGCAGTAGTTGTAAGGTGGAGGAAGGGTCTGAAGGGGAGCATCTAGTATGATTATTCATGTAGTTTGAGATTTGTACGGTTAAGCAATATGAATGCCTACACAATTGGAGGCCAGACGAAGTTCATTAACCTACCATGGGTTTTGATATTAAGTAATTATCTCTTTGCATTAGTTTATGTGAGGAACTTATTAGGCACTACTGAAATGAGGTCTCGCAGTTATGTTGTTTGCTCCCGATATTATGTCTGGTGATGGAGATAAGTTGAGACTATGATGATTGGAACTAGTAATCTTAGTAGAACTGTAAGAGGTACTGAGCAAGACAATATAATTTAGACTATGATGATTGCAAATGGTAATTTTAGTAGATATGTATTAGATAGTGAGCATGTTTTGCATCTTGATAGCTGATAAGTACATGGAAATTGTTAATTTTACTGCTTAGGGTGACCATTCATCGTGATAGGAAAATCGAGGAGAACTTGATTCTTAGGATTAAAAAATTGATTAACGTTGTGAATTCCTTCTGAATTATTATGTGATTACAGTAATACCCATCAGATTGTAGGAAGAATTTTATAATAGGGCTATAATACCACAATGATTTATAGGTCAGGATACTAATAAGGATAGGCAACATTGCATTAAACTTAATTAAAAAAAATTCTGCATCTGTCAGAAGTTAAGAGGTAACTCCAATTATTGACAAAGTGAGGGAGAATCAATTGAGATGGTTTGAACATGCACAATAAAGACTAATAAGTATGTCATTTGCGAGGAGCTATCAGAATGCAATTAATGAAGAAATAAGGACTGAAGTAGGTGTAAATCAAGGCAGATGGAAACCGAGGATGCTCTACTTGATCACAGTAATACCCATCAAAGTGTAAATTGAGACGGATGGAAACCAATTTAGCCCAAGAAATTGCCGCATTAGCTTTGAATGAAGAGATTTATTAGTGCAAGTAACACAAAAGTTTGGTTAAACGCGTTGTTGTTGTTGCTCTAGCTATTAGCTACACGTGGCGTTTGTGACTATCAAAAATATTTAGTCAAGATAAAATTTAGTCAAAATACTCAAATTTCACAAGAATTATGTTGCAGTTAATGAAGAAACAAGGACAAAAAACAAGTGTAAATCAAGATGGATAGAAACCAGAAGATGCACTACTTTACAATAGGAAATTACCCTTACTAGTTTTCAATGGAAGAGAAGTATTTGTGCAAACGACCCAAAACTTTGGTTCAAGGCATTGTTGCTGCTCTAACTTTTAGTTACACGTGGCTTTATGACTGTTAAGAAAATATAGTAAAAAATACCCATATTTCATGAGGATCGTATCACATCTCCTAAAGTACCTTCCGCCGAACCATAACCCTGAAGTTGTGGTGAGACTCGAGAAATTATAATTTTGTACTCTATATCCTCAGAGTTTAAATGGACTTTTCGTTGCTGAAGCTTGAACTATTTTATGCCATAGTATATTTCAAAAATACGATTTTAATGCATGGCAGTTGGGATTTGAATATGGATTATTTTGATAGTAATAAAGCCATTTCCCTTGCACCAGACTTGGAAGTTGTGGTGAGAATTGAAGGGTATAAGTTTATATTCTCAGGACAGCAAAGGTGCTTTCAGAAATGGGAACAATGTATTCTTCAAGCATCAATACTGCCTTTCTCCAATTTGATATTCCTCTCTATTGTTGGTTACCTCATAATAAGAACTGAGAGGAAGGCTAAAATCTCTAAATGATTGAAATTTTGTTATTGGAATTCTTTGGGAGTATCATTATATTTGACCTACCTTTAGCCTTTATATACATATGTTTATACCAAAAATACAATGCTGCAGTGACCTTTGTCTGATGGTCACTTGAACTGCCCATCAGGTGAGAGTTTCTTCAATTAAGCCCGAAGGACAGAGTATTAAAACTGGAGCATTAGGTGAGAAAGGACTAGTTTGATTTTAGTGACACTGAATTATGATAATTTTTCTTAATCACAATCAGATGTGAGAAAGTAATAACTAAATTGTGGCCATGTGCTATTAATTCTATCAATGCAGGAGGTTAGCAAGAAAACAACATAAAAAAAGACTTGTTGAGTTTGCATGATATAAACTGAACTAGCATGGGAAACCTATACAAGGTTTACTTTCTATTATGCTACAAAATTTTCCTAAGTAGTGCCATGTTGACATCTGTGCTGGTATCTCTGTCGATGTCTCTTATGTAATACATTAGCAGTTGCAGTTTAGATATTTGCTGATAGTCTGATTCTTCTGGTGCACTATATTGCAATTATCAGGGCTAGTACAATCTCTTGTAAGTACAGGGAATAAATGAAAATTGTTGTCAGCTTTAATTATAGTAGCTAAATCCTATGGTTGTTTAACTTGCTCTTGCACAAATTGTGTTACAGGTATCCATTATGCAGGTTGCATCTGAGAACCGAGCTTTCATTTTTGACTTGATAAAGTTGTATCAAGACGAACCAAAAGCATTAAATAACTGTTTCAGCCGAATCTTATGCTCACCCAACATTCTGAAGCTTGGTAGATACTTCAAATTGCAGTCACATATCTTTTTCCCCCTCTGATAAATGAAAGTGGAATCTGTTGAATGATGGCTGTGAAAACTTTGCTCATACAGGTTACAACTTGCAATGTGATCTTCATCAGTTATCTCATTCTTATGGAGAGCTTGAGTGTTTTAGGTACTATGAAATGCTGCTTGACATTCAAAAACTTTTCAATGAGCGTAGCGGTGGTCTCTCTGGTTTAGCTCAGGTAATCTGAATTATAATATCCTTATTTTTATGCAGTATACATGATTATTTTTTGGGGCTAAATTTCACAAGATCCTGCATAAGTGTGGGCATTTCTCAAATAACCCCCTTAACTTTCAAAATGTCACGAAACCCCATGTTTTGGGGTTCTCAGAAGACAGCCTTCAACTTCAACCGTTCTTTCAGAAAACCCCCTCAATGGTGTTAGTTTAGGTGGATTTTCTGACAAAACTTAAGGGGTTTGTGACATTTTGTAAGTTAAGGGAGCTGTCTCAAAAAATGCCCACACTTAAAAGGAAGCTTCACAGTACCCCCCTAAAGTTAGAATGGAACTATGAAAGGTAGAAGTAGCTCCGTTAGCTTTGTTCTGTGACGAATTTAAGGGTGGTTTTGTGAAATTTACCCTATTCTTTTTCTTTTTGATTTCATTCACTAATGATTTTCTCCATGGAAGTTCCGATGATTGATTAGATTTTATATGTCAAGACATTAGCTCATTTTGTGCTATTTGGTCATTAACCAGAAAATATTGGGTGCTGGTTTGAACAAGACAAGAAGGAATAGTAATTGGGAGCAACGACCCCTAAGTCAGAATCAGGTAAGCTAATGCAAATGATTGGTTTCAAGATGCCACGTTCCATAACATGTTCATCCATTGCTATAGCTTGTTGAACAAATTCATATAATTTCATACTTGTCAAGACAATCAGCAAGATAGCTTCAAAAATGATTGGAGAGAATTTTAATGTCCTTCAGAAATCATTGATAGTTCATAATAGTTAACAAATTATATTGGGTTTGATAATTTATTTGCAGATGGAATATGCTGCTCTTGATGCTGCTGTCCTCGTACACATATTCCGTCATGTACGCAGCCCGCCTAATTCTCCAGCTAGAGTTGAGCAGAGCAAAGGAGAATGGAAATCTCACATTGTAAGTCACGAGAACACTTCCATCAAATTTAGCCAAGATATTTGTATTTAGATACATAATTTCCATAATTGTGCAGGTTTCCCATATGGGCAACGCTAGACAAAGGAGGTTAGCCTGAGGATACTGGAGAGGATGATAACTATCCCTAACAATTTGTTTCGGTTGATGTTTATCTGCACTTTCTATTGCTAAATTGCCATATTTGTTGTCATCAGCACACATCATGCTGAGATTTGTGTTCCTTTAGCAAACCTGTACATAATTTCGCGAAGGAAAATGTACATAGACAAATTTTAATATGAAACTTGATGATGCAAGGTGGATATTTTGTTTGGGTTTGATCAGGGCTGATCTGCACTTTCTGCTTAAGAAATTTCTTATCCTCAATGCAGAAACTTATATTCAAGCATTTCGTAGATTGCAGTTATTGCAGCTCCTAACTTATCCCATTATTGTGATAGGTAGATTTAACCTATTAGGAGAGGAATATAAATGATTGTCAGTTTATAGAATATTTCTTTGGTTGGAGAGGATGTGCATTTTCTTTTGTCTCCTTTCTCCCAACAACTGCTAGACTATGATGGACCCTAGCAAGAAAATGGAGACTCAATCCTATTGAACTGGCATATGAAATATGCGGCGAATAGAGATTCTATCAAGACACCTCAGATAGAGGGTGATATATACGAGGAGAACTTTTAAAAATAGACCCTTTTTAATAAATAATTAATAAAAATAACATTTTTATTAAATAATTAGCAAAATCGATTTTTTTTGTCAGCTCACCAAGACTGGCAAAAAAAAAAGTCGGTTTTGCAAAATTTGATGTTTAAAACACACGGGATTATTAGTCCTGTGCGTTTAGCAAGCGCTAATTAGCATTTAAACAAAGTCGAAAAAACTCAAGACTAGTACTCCCATGTGTTTTCTCAACACAGACAGCTCAAAACATGCACGCATATGTTTTAACTTATTTCCTGCATAAATACAATATTTCTTGTGCATAAAAATATTCAAATTCACCTTGTACTATATTATATAATATATATCATTGTATATACTATATATATATATATATTATACGGTATAATATATATATTGAGAAAATCGGTGCGTTTGGTAACCAAGACAAAATTTATGCTTTGGTAGTGAGATGACATAATCTGCGCTCCACTCATTCAAATGGTGTGGGCAGTATCTCAGCCTCTAAGCACATGTGAGATGTGGTCCCCATTTGAATGAGTGGAGCGGATTGTGCACCCACACTAAGCAGTACCCATTATTTCTCATCTCTCTCTCTCTGCTCTCTTCTCATCTCTCGTTCATCTCTATTAATATAGTATATATATAGTATATATATATATATATATTTATACTTATATTATATATATATAAATATATATATTATATATATATATATAAAGATAAACATAACTTAATACACATCTAATCAATCCAAAACTGTTGTGCCAAAAGCTGTGTCGAGAAACCAAACCAAACGCCAATCCAAGAGAGCCAAACAAACTAAATATCAATGCACAAACAAAATACCAATTTTAACGTGGTTCGGCGATTACCTACGTCCACGGGGCAAGAAAGGGGATGTGGTTTTCACTAATAGAGAAAGAGTACAAACTGAGATTACAACTCACTCCAAGGAACAAACTAATCTCACCAACAAGCTCTTAATCTCTCCAAACAAAACCCTAAACAAATAGCTCAGAAAATACCTCTTTTCTGTGCTTCAAATATCCCCAATTTGCTTCTCCAAATTCTCTCTTTCAATTGTTCCATATATATAGAAATCCTAAAATCATAAACATACTAGGAATTCTAAACCAAAAGCCAAATCAAATTAGGAATCCTAATAACCTATTACCAAAATAGATTAGGAATCCTAATAACCTCATGTTACCAAAATAGATTAGGAATCCGCTATCCAACAATTCTTCACCTCGACGAAGTTTTTCCAAAACTGAGCCGACACCGACCAAACCAAATGCCTCACTTGTTGCGTCCAGTACAAAGTAAAACGATCAACAACAACGGACTCAATCCACAACAAGTCGAGACCCAAACGGGAGTGCGATCACTTACCCAAACGTCGGTATCTACTCACTAAATCGGCTGCATCATAAAGACTGCCTACGTATCCTCTTGCCCAAGGAATCAAGCATTCACGTAGTTCATCCAAACGGCCTCCAAAGGCTCTCAATCAAATAGAAAAGTCTGCAACTCTTCCCCAATATCGCCAACGGATCTGCAACTGATAGCGGCCCCAAACTGATACAAATCAAACACCTCCATCTGAGGTGAACCAATGGCCGTATCCAAATCATGTCCACCAGCTGCAACCGAATCCAAAACCAATCCATCATCTGCATCCGAAATCAAATGATCCCCAACCTGTGTCACCTCAGCTGGAATCCCAAATGACGCAGTATGATCTGAAGTATGTGGAGTAATCTCCACCCAACGTGGAGTAGTATCACTCTCCACCTGCTGTGATATCCAAACGATCTGATCAATACTCTCCACCTGCCGAGAGTCAAAAGTGACATACCTGCTCAGAACAAAATCAGAAGCTCCCAAACGATAATCAACTGAGCCTCCGAACCCCAAACGCGCAATCGGATCAAATCTCACATCCTCGATGTGACCAAATACTGGGTAACCAAATATCCGACGTCGACCAAAATCTGAAGCAGCTCCACCAGATCTAATAACTCCTAATACAGCAGTCGGCGACCTATGACTAAGATGACCCAAATATGTCGAAGCTTCAGAATCAATGCTTGACAACCAACGCCGATCCTCCTCCAGAAAGGAACCCATCGAAACTGTCATCTCATATTGTCGCCCTAAAGTCTCCATACCAATGAAGTGTCTCCTATTGCCGTGAGCTCGACACAAACGCAAGAAAGGACCCCTACCAAAGCTAGAACAACGAGTTACCCTTCTGCCAATACACTACTTCTAATTATTGTTGACTTCTAGGACTTTACACCAACGAGAACTGGTCGCGATCCAATAATGTCTAGAACAATCACCAACTACGGAAACTACAAAATGATTACCTCCCAATGATGCCTCCTTGGAAGGCCCCCAAATGCCTAACTAAACACCTCCTAAAAGACTCCTCGCTCGATGGATAGGAGTGCCAAACTCCACCTCGGTCTTGCTCATCCCAATGTGCTCAAAGGACTTCCATCTACAGGTCAAAGCACTCCTCAACAACCTATGCACGACATCACCAATCAAATACCCCAGCACCAAACAACGACACAATCTAGCCAAATCCAATAAAGTCGTCAAAGCTCTATCAATCATCGTGCTCCCAAGCAAATAGTATAAGTTACTCTTTCTGACGTCCTTCATCACAATCATGGACCCCAAATGTAACCTTTGAGCGTGCATCCGCTAAGGTCACCCTATAGCCTGCTGCCTCCAAAGCTCCAAGTGAAATGATGTTCTTCTTCAACTGAGGAACGAACCTCACTCTAACTAACTCCTGAATCACCTCGTCACTCATCCTGATTCGAACGGTACCGATACCACCAATAGAGCATTTATGATCATTCCCCATAAGCACGAAATCTTCTCTTTCCAACTCCTAAAAGCTGGAGAACCAATCCCTCCTAGGACAAATATGGTATGTAGCGCCCGAATCCAACATCCACTCTGTAGAGTAGGCAACACAAACTGACGGCAGTACAGATAATGAGTAGCCTGAAGAATTCGAATCTGAATTGTTGCCACTAGTCTTAACAATATTCACCTCTGAAGCTTGTATAGCTTTCCCCTTATTCTTCCCGATTTAATCATTCAACTTTGGGCATTCAGCTTTCCAATGTCCATCTTCTTTATAAAAAGCACACTGATTCCTACGAGCATTCAGCTTTCCAATGTCCATCTTCTTTATAAAAAGCACACTGATTCCTACGAATTCCAAGATGTGCTCCTCTAGAATGTGACCTTCTACCTCGGTTTGGACCCTTTGCTCTTGCAACCAATGCCCCCGCTACCGGCTCAATAAAAGTCTCATTGTCCTTCTTCCTGAGTTGGTAATTCACTAATGCAGCGGTGACCTTACTATATGAAAGAGATGCATTCTCATTAATAAGAGTAAGGACAAACGTCTCATATTCCTCGTCGGGCAAGGAACTCAACAATAGCAACGCCTTGTCCTCATTTTCAACAATGATATCTACATTCGCCAAATCTGCAAGAAGCTTCGTGTAGTGGTTCATGTGATCACTAATGGATGTCCCCTTCTTCAATTGGAAGCGATAAAATCTCCTCTTCAAATGCAAGCGGTTTTCAACGCTCTTCGTCAATTACTTGCTCTCTAGGACCTCCCAAATCTTCTTCGCGGAAGTCTCATTCATCACATCATATTTTAGATCTTGAGTGAGACAAGACCTAATCACACCATATGTTGTCCGATTCAACTTTTTCCAAACCTTATCATCAATGTCGTCCAGTTTCCCGTCCAACTCCAACGTATCTTCCAAATTCTACGTATTGAGCGCATTCAAGACTTCGCATCGCCAAAGTCCAAAATTATTAGTGCCATTGAACTTCTCCACGTCAATCTTCATCGAGTGGATACTCAAACTTTGGACAGTCTTCACACCTGAAGAACTACCCTCAACTCCCTCTTTCTCGGCCATAATCCTCAACACACCAACAACCAATGCGAAAACAAACGAAGAATAGATCCAAAACTGAGAAAAGAAAGAAGCTTTACCGAAAAGATCCCACCTTTCTCACAAACTGAAACCCTAGACGAGCTTCCCAAATCGATCTACTCCTCCAAATAGCCTAAGCGTAGCCTGAGCTATGATACCAAATTGTTGTGCCAAAAGCTGTGTCGAGGAACCAAACCAAACGCCAATCCAAGAGAGCCAAATGAACTAAATATCAATGCACAAACAAAATACCAATTTTAACGTGGTTCGGCGGTTGCCTACGTCCACGGGGCAAGAAAGGGGATGGGGTTTTCACTAATAGAGAAAGAGTACAAACTGAGATTACAACTCACTCGAAGGAACAAACTAATCTCACCAACAAGCTCTTAATCTCTCCAAACAAAACCCTAAACAAATAGCTCAGAAAATACCTCTTTTCTATGCTTCAAATATCCCCAATTTGCTTCTCCAAATTCTCTCTTCCAATTGTTCCATATATATAGAAATCCTAAAATCATAAACATACTAGGAATTCTAAACCAAAAGCCAAATCAAATTAGGAATCCTAATAACCTATTGCCAAAATAAATTAGGAATCCTAATAACCTCATGTTACCAAAATAGATTAGGAATCCTAATAATCTCAT